CCCCAAAACCCCAAAACCCCAAAACCCCAAAACCCCTGGAATGTACAAGCTTATTGCAGAATTTTGATTAAATTTGGCTAACGTAGATTGTACTTCTGGCGTATTTTTCTAGGAAGACCCACCTTCGCTGCAATCTCGTTGTAGTCAAAGTCTAGAGGTAAGATCAGTCAAGTCAAACAAGGGCTTTGGAACCCAGGAATGCTTACTTCTGGTTTCTTTTTCGATATCAAATCAGACGACTAAGAGATAATTGGGAAGCTTACTGTCTTCTTGGGACCTACATCTACGTGCTTTGGTGGCATCCTCCTGGAAAGGAGGCTCCTTTTCACAGAAGATGCAAGACTCAAGTGAAGTTGTTGTGCTAAACCTACTCTTCAAGCTCCATGGGTTGTGGCCAAAGCTGAACAGATCAGGATTATTTGCAGTAATATCAATCGGATTCTGACAAATTAGTGCTGAAGTTACTATTTTCCTTGAACTTCGAACGAGTGGTGTTCCTGAACTTGTCATCAACTCTTTTCATGACATCTATGATCTATAAGCAAGGAAGGGTACCTAGGAAGGTGCGGCTCTGGACCAAGGCACCTAACTTCTTGTTGATCTTCCCATTCTCATGGAACCTAGGTGATCAATTGTTAAGGCTGACTTAGAGATCCGGTCGCTGGAATCTTTCGGACGACTCATTGCTTTATTTAGACAGCTTGATAGGCTTGAACTCGTACTTAATCCTCGTATCTATTTTGGGCTTGAAGAACTACATCGAAATGAGCCTAGGAAGAGTCTACCTTGTTGATGCCGGAGTTCTTGTACGTGTTGAATCACTCCATCTCTCCGATAGGTCTCTAAGAGTCATAGTTTCAAGTACCTTTTCGTGGCTATAGAGAATCGACTTTCTCTGCTTCTTCAATTTCTTGCTAGAAGAATGCCTCAGTAACCTTACAGTGATATATTCTGAATGGTTCTACAGTTAGATGAGCCACTTTGCTTACCTCTGGCTTGCATGCTTCTTCAGTTTCTTGAAAGAATTACTCACCCGGTTCTTTCGTGTCATGATTTGGTTGTTCCGTGCTTTGATGTTCTTTAAGAACTGTTCCTTCGCGAAGTTTCTGAGGTACTGAGTGAAGCAAGCATAAGTCTCTTTGTTCCGACTGATGGGTACCTTTTTATTTCGCTTTTTCGGCTCTTCCTTCTTCGAAGGGCTCAGCACTACTGTCCTGAATCTTACTAGAGAAATTGGGGTAGTTAAGGCAGCTGGATTTGCTAAAATTCCTTTAGTGGTCTTTAGAATGAGATCACGAGAGGTTGATAAAAAGGCTGTAGGTCTTACTTCTGTTTAGTTCTGGTACAAATAGCTCATCCATTATTTTCAATTATTTATTTTATCTTAGGGGTTTTGGGGTTTTGGGGTTTTGGGG